GGGACAAAATTAAATAATTTGTGACTCTAAAGGACATATGCAAATTATTTGTACTTTTCTTATACATTTTCATTTAGTTTAAAATTATACCAAAATGAAAGTTTACCCCCCCCAACACACATGGAAAGATTCCTATGAGATAAGCATCAATAACAAAAACTCCAAAGGACTAGAACATAGCAAATGTACTAAAATAGCTGCGTAGGATAGAGCACACCTCTAATCAAAGCACCTTAGAGGCTGAGGCAAGAAGGGTCACTGTGAGTTCAAAGCCAGCTTGGGCTACACAGCGAGTTCAAGGCCAGCCTGAACTGCATAGGAGCCCCTGTCTCACTGTGCCCCCAAATATATACCGTATACCCTAAAATAATGAGGTCAAAGTAATTCACACAATACCCCACTCACTGGTCACCTTTAAAAGACACTACAGAAACAAGGCAGGATTTTGAAAACTGATAGGAAAAAAGAGGACACCAATAAGCTGTTATCCTGACTCTCCTCCAGAACATTGTAAAGATTCCAGATAGCAGAGTAGAATTTCCCCTTCCTCAGGTATTACATCTGATAAATTCAGCAAGAACGATCATCACTATCTGCTATACCTAATAAAAGAACAGATCTAGGCCTTCATCCTCAGTAGTTACTCCTGATGAAAGCCTAACACCATCTGTTATGCTTGGATCTGGATGTCCTCCCACCCCAGCTCTGTGCTGTCATAGGTGGGGCCTTGGGGAGGTGGCTGGATCAGGGGTGTAAGGCCGGGTGGCGTGAGTCCAGAGGTGGGTTTAGAGCTGCTGTGCTTTACAGCCAAGTGAGCGCTTTCTCCTCCTGCCCTGGAGCCAGCCTAGGATGGACTGAAACCTCTACACGCTGTAAGCCAAATAAACCTCTCCTCCTTTAACTTGTGGGTGTCCAGTATCATGTCTCAGCAATGAGAAAGTAACCAAGACATCATCTATGCAACAGTCTCATCCCCCCCAAAAAAAACCAAAAACAAAGCTCAACAAACCTCTAGACACAGAGGACACAGGAATGGGCCAAGTGTTTCTACAAAAACACAACCACCAAATTTAGACAACAGCCAATTTCTTCAACAATTTTAAATGTAACAAAAAGAGCAGGGGAGGGGGAGAATTATCTCAGTGGTGCCACCTGACTCACAAGCACAAGGTCCCGAGTTCGATCCCCGGTACCAAAAAAAAAAAAAAAAAAA